AATTAGAGGACATTTTGAAATTGTAACTATGCGTAGTAATCTCCACGTATAACTCTCCCGATATATAGGGTGTAGTCGCACCGTCCTTTCCTTATTGTGACCTAACGCAACTTCGAACGAATTCACTGTCAGTATGTTTAGCTGAACAACAACCTGTTCAGACAAAGCTGAATAATGACCCTCGGAATATCGGAATTGAAATCGGGGTTACATCTCTGCTGAGTATTACGTTACATAATGAGCTGTTAGGTAGATCTCTGTGATATGCAGTGGCCACAGGGGCGCTCGCTTTGGAGAACATGGTTTCATCTGTTACGATCATACCAAAATACCACACTGTTTATGTTGTTCTCAAGTCGCAAACTTACTGCTCTTTTCTCGACTGGTTGCTTCGACTCAACGAGAGGTAAATCCTTGGGTAAATCCAAGGGAATTCGCTACTAAAACCATGTTTGTCCCTTCGAAGGGATCGAACCGGTATCTGGAGTTCAAAGCCGAGCACTTTGCCACTGTGCCTGCACGTCATAATCAGAGATGGAATCGGCACCGAAAACAGAGCTGTAATTTATTCAACGTGAATGTCTTGTTCTCTGACATGAAAGGATCGGAACTTGACTGAAGTAGCAGAGTGGCAATAAGGTTAATAAAATTTTTAAAGTTGAAAGTTGCTATTTGAAGGAAATAACCATATGTTGAAAAAAAATAATCCGATAAAACAGTAAAGAAGTAGTATACGACTGTTGTTTTTGTGATTATGAAACAGTTAAACTTGCCAACAGAGCTGCTTGACATTAAACACCGTGTAAGAATGCTGCCTAACGGAAGTGTAACCGCGACGGATTCGCGCTGATAACTTAATGGGTTTCGATATCTGGAATGTTATTGCTCCATACGCATATTCTTATTGTTGTTATTAAATGAAAACTTTCTCTTGCACAGAGTTCGTTCAGCAGTATTGATCATGATTTGAGTTTCTGCCATAAGTTCGCTTGTTTTTAGAGTTTTTGAAGTTTCCATAAAGTAGCAAAGACAATGAACGATCTGGTAACTGGTTTTTTCATTTTTTTCTCCGCCTGTCCCGTTCTTCACACCATACTTGTTTAGCAGCAGATGTCGTCCGAACCGCCCGACTACTACAGCAGTTATATCAAATGGGACAGGCTGTACATCGAACTTGTGATCGTTTTCGATACCTCAATGGTATAAGTAAATTTAACTTTTGTCACGTACACGTGTTTTAGCATTCTGGACATTTAGTATCTGAAGAACAAACAAGACGCCGATGCGCTTCAGCGTTACGCGGCGTATATCACCAGTCTGGTGAACTCGGTGAGCCATTTTGTACCTCTCTTTTTTCACTTAGTTTCATTTAAACCGTTTATCTGTGAATTTACGAACATTTTTTTTGCTGCAGCAAAAAGCTAACTTTCGCCTGAGCTTTCTCCTCAGGTTGCGTCAGAGGGGAAGGAATGCAGCAGTTCATGAAACAGAAAGGGAAACGAAAGTCTATAACCGTTCGGATTAGAATTTTCTTTGTACTATTTTTTATGGAACATATTGCGTAGTCACTTGTTTCCTTTTCACAGAGAGTTACTCATTTATCAACCTCGGAAGGGAGAAAAGCAAGTGACCAGATGGCACTCGAATCCAGGACCTCTGGGTTTGTAGTTGAACGCTCTTCCAACTGAGCAACCCCGGCCTGAAGCACTATTTGGTAAATTGCTTGCTTTTCGGCATTCATGAATACGACAAGCATTGTTCTGCAAAGTTCTTAGCTGACCTCTTACACACTGATTCACTCTATCTTTGTTGATGAATCCTTTGTCCCTTTCGGTCGTCTTTCTTTGGTAAGGAATCTACAGCAGAGTATTTCTACCCGTCTTCTGTAGAGTAGGTTGCCTCATAACCTCATAGTTCTGTTTAATGTTTAATGAACTTCATTTCCGTTCTGCGCTGCAGCAGTCGTTGATATCTCACAGTGTCACCATTATGGTTAATTTGTTTCTTTATTCGGAATAAGTCTTTCCTTCAATAGCTGATTACATCCTCTGTTAAACACAGAAATCCAACGACGTATACAGTGCAAGTAACTGCCTATACTAGCTAACCATCGAATTCTAACCATGGTTACGGAAAAGCGAAAAAGGAAAGTTGCTTACCGTTTGAATGTCTCTCTCTTACATTTAATGATCGTATCATTTAATGATACATAATTAATGGCGCAGTTCTGATCTCCATTGCCATGCCATCAGACGAGAGTGTCCTTTTCAAACGCAGAGTTGACAGCGGCTACATGGCAAGAATAGCATTCGTCTGTTGCTTACTTCCCGAGATTGGTACTCATTTATCAACTTCGGAAGGATGAATAACCGGACTGGACTCGAACCCGTAAGCTCCTGCTTCTGAGTCATACGCGTTGTGGCTGAACATGCACGTTTTCCACTGTAGCACATTAAAAATCGAGGCTGACTCTCTGATTTTAGCCTCTCAGCTGTAATTCAGCTTGTTGCGAGTCGTCTCCGTCTGCAAAAACTTTCATGGTTCTTACTTTCTTCATTAATGCTTTAATGTTAACATTAGTTATTAAATTTCTTTTTATTGGCTTGTATTGTTGATCCTTATAACCACTATAGTACAGTGATTAGGGTTTTACATAAGCAATCCCACATTCTTTGTGTATACGTTTTGTGTTATTTGCAGGTACAGTAATTGCTGCATAATGTGAGCTTTTGATTTTATATTTCACTAATACCATAGACAGCAATTAATCATCGCCGTTTGGCGACTGATACTGACGAACCACCGACGGTCGGTTGTTAGTTGAGTGGCGTGTTCATTTGAAAACAGTTTCGTTGGATGGCTCTGTGTTTAGTGCCGGTTGTAGCTGGCACGCTGTGATTTATTATCACTGCACAGACGTCAAGATAATGCCAGAATTTACATGATGTAATTAATTGATTGACAGATTTGTCCAGAAATGAAGGTTTGTCATCTTTACCTCCTCATGCGTTGTAGTTTTTTGTTCCCCGCACTCTGAAGTCTGCACTTTGTCAACAGGTCAGGAACTGCAGCTGTTGCCAATAAAGTTCTACCAAGGTAGCGACAACCACGTTGGTGATCATCACCAGTAGCGACGGCTAATGACCTAATGACCATCGTTATTGACACTTAATGGTCAATTCACAAATGTTTGTCTGTCTTTGTTATTAGCTAGACGTTAAAAATAATATTGGCAGAAGACAAGTCGGCATCGTTTAAGCTGCATAAGCATTTATGGCACACCGCTGCGATGGTAAAGAATGTGAAACGACGTGTTGTTTAAATTTCACTTCACTCCGGCCAGATATTCTTAGTTTCAAGCATCCTTCTCAGCTTAGAGCTCACGTCTACTACTTTGATACTTTGAAACCATACTGATATAGCTAAATGTATGGAATCAGTCATGTCAGTGTGTATACTATCACTGAATTTTTGTATTTTGTTTCGAACAAAATCGTAATCTCTCACAGCTTTGCTTGTAAGCAGCTTCCCCAGATTGAAACTCAATATTGTGACAGTCTGATTATGTAATGAGGATTCTGCATGAGAGAAGCGCTGACCGAGGTCCAAATCATTCTTCCCTGTCGATCATTTTCCATGATCGAGTTTTAGATTGCAGCCCTTGGTGCTTGTCTGATTTTCAGTAAAGTGGAAGGGTGTTTCTCTATAATCCACTTCTAATTCGAAAGGAATTGCTAGCCGTCAAGTAAATAAGTGAATGAACTGGAAGAGACCATAAGATGAAACTTCTTTTCACATTTTCCAGTCTAGGCCGACTACAGTTGACCTCAGTGATATTCATTTTCGTCGATTTACTGAATTTTAAGGCATCTGATCAACGCGTCAGTTGATGAAGTTACCCTAAGATTTGTATTTATTTGTGGTGATCCTCTGTCCTGATGTGGTACCTCTCACAGCAGGCATCATTAGTCTAAACGCATATGTCAAATGTCAGTTTGAAGGTCGATGGTAGCAAACCTGCACACATACCACTTTTCTTATTTTGGCTGATCATCAGTACGTCAGTGTTTCGTTCGTTGCTTGATTTTCTGCTTAAGCTTGCTGTATTTTTGTACGACTTCGATTTTTTGGTGAAATGTCACAATGGGCTAATCCATATGTATTTTGTAGACATAACTTGGTAAATAAAAGTATAGTTCAATCAAATTTAGTGTACTTTACATTGTGGGTCATAGAAGGGCCCTAGAAACGACACGTTAAAATCAAAATGGTACTGTATCAGAGTATAGAAAAATTACATTTAACGAAATTAAAAGGTAGTTTAAGAATGAGATGTTAATTTGATGTGGTTCTAAACAGGATTCGGCCATTATGTTATGAGTGAGAGCAGTAACGTTCGTCTGTGACTTTTTGTAATGCAGGTCATAATCCCGAAGCGATACTTTGCAACTGTAATTTATTGACAACTAGATTGTACAAAACTGCTAGCAGTTTTACAAAAATTCGTCAGCATCTGCTAATATCGTTACGTAATGTGGCGCTGCTGATGTGACTATATTTCAGCGGCATTTATCCTTCTGCTCCTTTGTATTTAGATCGCCCAAGCCGCCATTTAGTGATCTTTGCGCAGCGTGGATTAGTGTTTCTGTGTCCAGTTATAGAAACAGATCGGTGACATGTATCGTAGCGGAAAACACAGGCACATCTTCCTGAAGGGTCTCAGAATCTTCGACGATATGTGCGCGTTATTCAACCGCCAAAGGAACGACATTGCTTTATGCATATTTTGAGCGCCTATTTTCAGAATGTTCCAAAATGATTGATATACTGGACTTGTGATCTCCTGTAGAACACCTCGCTGTTTACACATCCATACCATCTCGACCTTACTCAAAAGCCATTCTGTTTTCAAAGCGATCGTGATGAAAGGGCATGCATTTTAACTTAGCCTAATTATATGAAGTCTACGTTAGCTGAACTACAGACATTACTGATGTAATTACAAAATCTTATTGTGTTTGGTGTCTGCTTGAATGCCAGTATAATGTACAGCAAAAGGAAAAGTGACGAAAATATTTTACAGCAAGTTCCCTGGTGTTTTTGCTACACATTAATTCATTTACTAACTGTTGGATTATAACTTTTATGAACACATCAGCTGAAGTTGTAGAATAGGCATATGACACTGTGGCGTGATTTTAGTTTTATCATCCGCTGAACATCAACGTGGCACTGACCGATGTAATTGTATGGAGGAACCACGACGGTGTGGAAATGAATCGCGACGGTGAGCGTACGTTGAGCGAGTTCGCTCACTATCGGACAGTGAATCTTGTAAAGTCTGTGCCAAACGACGTCGCCGTCCTCATCACGTAAGCTGCATCTTTTATGTTTGATGTTCAAGTTGTGTCGCTGGTATCCACTCAGCAATTGTCTGAATGCATTGACACTGCAATGGACAACATAGTGATTTTCGCTTTCCCCAGCTATTGATTACTCAGTTGTTCCTGAATACGCAGTTCATTCTAGTTTCAATCTTTCCGTCAATTGTTGTTATTATGCGCTTCAAATGTCTCAGATCTTTGATCTCAAGCAAGCAGAACGATTGAGCCTACCGCCGCATCTCAGCCGGTCACAACAAAGAAACAGCTCCCCTACCAGCTTGAATTCATAAGTGCGATTTATGGCATTTTTAGATCGTATTTCAGTACTTTGAAAGTATTTCGTCGGCATGCTGTTTCACCAGCTTACTCAGCCTACACGTCGTACTGTTGATATTCATTATCAATGGACGGTTTTACATCAGTAGTAAAGTAAATCGTTTAACGGTTTGCGCACATGAGGTTAAATTGTAAAACAGTTTCTTGAACATCAACAACTTTTTTGACATTTAACACACTTGCTGTAGGTTAAAAAGTCAGGATCTGGATCGCGTGCCTAAATCAGCTATGAACGAAACTCTACAAATCGCGGGAGGCCGTCGCATGAGCGACTCAGTTTCAAACAGCTTTTCTACCTAATTGTTATGAATTATCCCCCCTCCCCTTCCCCCCAAAGCATGCAGTTCGATCTTATAGTATTTGTTGATGCTATGCCTTGAGTTGCTTGTTTCTGTTTTAGGAACATCCATGCAAGAGACGAATTAAAAGGGTAATCACTGGTTTTCTGTGAAGCTCAGTTCTCACTTTGATGAAGGTGAAGTTTCCACGTGTAGCGGAACTTCGAGACTAGTAGATTGTTAAGTGAATTATGAAGCGGCTATACGGTTTTTTTCAACATCCGTCATTGTACAGGGTTGTATGTTTTTAGTCAGTGAACCATATTGCAGTCCTCCAAATCTAGCCATTGCGCTAATGCAGTGTCGGGCAACCGGTGTGCTGCGGCACCCTTTGTGTCACGAAAAAGTTTTCGGGTGCCGCGAGAAGTTTTGAAAAATATTCAAAATTGCTAGTGTTTCTGAACCAAAGGAAATCTATATAAATAAAAATGTCAATCTTCAGCTGTTCCTGCCTGACTCAATAACTTCGACAGTTCTTCACTGATGACCTTGCAATTTCGACGCGTCCTTCCGATCGACTCGACTAGGAGCGTGTTCTTATGTACATTGTCCCACACGTGCAGCAGCAATAAAGAAATTTTTTGGGGATAAAGAGCGTCATGGACAACAGCGCTGTGTCGGAAGTCGCTGCAACACTCGGAAGAGTGACGTTGTCGCTGGGGGCGGGGGACGTTCGAATCACGCGATATTTAAGCCTTGGCGACTAACAGATGTGGATGTCATCGATCGGTCGGCAACTAGACCCTTCCTTAGCACCGTACGATGTTACCGTTCGTAAGCGACTGATTTTGATCTCACTGCCCTTGCGACGTCAACAGCCTCGTAACAGACCTCACCGCGTGACAGACGGTTTAATATCTTCAACCGCTGAGCTACTACGACTAGTCTGTGTACTATACGTCGCATCGGCGGCGACGGCGGCTACGCGAGTTTAATTCAGCTTCAAATATTATTTTATTTTAAGTTATTATAAAAATTACTCAGATGGAAAGATTTCTTATTGGAAAAGACGCAAATGAGAAGAATGATAAGCCGGTCGAGAACAATGACGACAAGACGATTGTATCATCAAAACGAAAAAAGCGATGGTATAAGGACGAATATCTGGAATATGGATTCATTGCATCAGAAAACGATCCCTCGCTGCCGTTTTGTATGATTTGTGTAAAAACTCTCAGCAACGAATCGATGAATCCAAGAAAATTACTTCGACATCTCGAGACAAACCATCATCAACAAAAGAGCAGTTCAATCAGTTGTTTCGAGAAGTTACGATCGAATCTTCAAAGCCAATCAAAGAAATTTAAGAAATATTTAACTGCCTGTGATCAGGCACAAATCGCTAGTTACTTGATTGCTGAACTCATTGCAAAGAATAAAAAGCCCCACGCTGAAGCGGAGGAAATAATTCTGCCGGCTTTGAAAATTGCAGCTGGATGCATGCTGACGAATGATGCTGCTAAGAAATTTAAGAAGATTCCACTGTCGTCAAAAACAATCTCTCGAGGAATTCAAAATATATCAGATGACACTGAGCTACTGTTAAATGAATGTTTCAATGATCCATCAAG